CAAAGCCCTTCTCTCACCGATTGTGTGTATTTTCTGTGTGACCAGGAGTGTCTCAGCTCCCACTCTGGCTGCCGCCGCCGCCGCCTCGGTCCCTGCGTGACCTCCGCCCACCACGACAACATCGTACTGCTGTCTGGCAATGTGACCGACACTTCTGGAGACCAGCAACAGAAAACTCTGCACCGGAGGAAACCTCTTTGTCAGCATGTAGGACGCAGAGCTGTTGAAGTAAAGGTCAGGTGGGCAGAAGTTTCAATACAAGGAATACTGAGCGATGTAGAAACTGTGTTATTCTTTTGTTATATGTGATACCACAGTGGAAAAGCAGGTAGTTGTGGTAATATTTACAGACTCAAATGGTCCTCTTTTTATTTGTCTTATGTTCTACACACCGCTGGTAATGTGCCCCATTAACATGGCTGAATAATATAAAGAGAGCAATCAGTAATGGAGTGTTTATTCCAAACTAAAGTGGTTCAAGGCTTAATGGCCACATGTGAGGAACTCAAACGTTTAAAGACGAAGGCCATCGATTCTACAAACGAAGCTCAGTTTGCTCAGCACAAGGACGGTGACTCAGCCTGCCAAAACAGCTCATTGTGTTTTCTTTCGGTCTGCAGAGAGTTTTCTGAAGTGTGAAAAAGTAACTGGTGATGTCTTAAAGGTTATCTCTGCTTCAGCAGTGAGAAAGGCCTCAGATGGAGGCTCCGAAGTTGAATTATAAATCTAACACTGACTGTGCTGTTGGAACGACCAGCCTGAGACGAAAATGCTCACAGAATCAGAAACCTACTTTTATAGACCTAGTTGTCATCTTTTATTGCTAATTAAAGTTTCATGTCTTTTATTATTATTTAATATGCATTTATTAATACTTCATAATCTAGTAGTTGTGCTTTCCTTGGGCCGTCCTGTTCATATGGCTGTTTTTTCTTTACACATGTTTACACTCAAGGTTTTTGTGATTTCGTCACTTCATCCTTACATTTATTTGTACTGTTATCACCTTGGTGTCCTTTCTCTCCCACCTCTCTCCCTGCCCCTCTCTGCAGGTATTTCTGGTTCTGGAATTGCAAATGTCCTCTCTGTGGCCACTGGTTCCACCGATCTATCCGGTGTTTATGCTTTCTCTACTTTCCTTTTGTTTCTTACTCTCATCCTAACCGGTCGAGGTAGATGGCTGCCTTCCTTGAGCCTGGCTCTGCTGGAGGCCTTTTCCATATTTTTTATTAGTTGCCATCAGACTGTTAAATGGCTCGAATAAGAACTAACCCTGCTGTGCTCCATGTGCAGGAAACGGGTGTGTAAAGTACAGGTACAAATGCTGCATATGCTGCACATTACAGATTACAGATATTTGTATTACTTTGCTCAAAGCTTCAATACGTTTTATTACTTCTGTGAATAGTTTTGTGCCAAAAATGTTTATTGGTAAGAACCAGATGTTGGTTTTTGACCGTAATTGTGTCTGCTGTAAAAAGTCATGTCCTGCAAAGGATGGATAAAGTATTCATCTACCTAATTAACATGGTTTGTTTCTCCTCACTGGTAGCAACATGCTGCCCATAAAGAATATTTGGATTCGTGTTGGTGTTTCATGTATGATTTTGTAGGGAATTAACCTTCATTAATAATCTAATTTAGTCAAGTAATATGTTACAATGTAAAATACTGTAGGTCCTTAACCTTAACATTTAAGTTAGCCTGGTTCATTTAGGTTATATATATTAATGCAGAGTATTTGATATTTAATTTTGTCAGGTAAATTTGTATTATTATAATTCTGTAGGGTCTTAATTGCAATATTTAACTTACTCAGGTAGACTAAAAATAATGTTGTGTCTTAACCGCAGTATTTAAATCTGTTAGGTACATGCCATTCTTATTTTTATTGTTATAATATGTTTTTACATTTTTTTTCTATAAAAACTGATTGTGTGGGATTTTAAGAGGCATAATGGGAAATGTGGGATGTTTTTAAGCCTGTCTCTTGGCAGTCGATGACTAATTTGTCAAAGAGCCCCTTTATTGTATAAAATATCCACATTACTACCCAAAAATCAAGGTCGGTTTTCCTGCTGTTCAGTTATTTCAACTTCTAAAACTTGTGAATAACACTGTCATCAACTGGATATGAGCTGATAACAGCCAAAGATCAGCAAGACAGGCAGTTATCAGGGAGATTTTTGGTAGAGCAGCATTTGAAATAGATAAATGAGCTTTCGATCATACTGTTTGTATAAAGATCACAGCGTGTAAAGTTACAAGGACACCGAATTTCACAATTTCACCAAACACGAGCTTATTCATACATGTGTGTCGATCCACTGCAACGAATCACCTCGAATAACAAATGTACTTACAGTTTCTTTGGCCGAAGACGAATGAAGATGTTTGTGTCTTTTCCAGGCTACTGACAGTAAAATATGAGACTTTTACAGATTTGGATCTTCAGAAAAATGTTCCTGCTATGTTACACAAACGCTCTCCACGGAGGCTGCCATGATGCTCGGAGCTCAGCGCCGTAATACCTGCTGCACAGGCGCAGTGACAAAGTTGTGTCACTGGGTCAAGTCGGGTTGCCCGTGCTTTGGCTTTCTACACAAGTTACTGATAAATCCATGAATGAAATGAAAATATAGATCAAGTAGCAGCAACGTGGACGTGGAAAAGTGGAGGGAGACGGTGGCTGTAGTGCAAATCTCGGTGTAAACAAACAACACTTATGGTTTGTGAGGAGACTGCCACGTGTACACGAGAAACCGTGCGTTCTCGATTGTGCCTGGGAATCTATCAGTATCGATCAGCCACCGATTTATTTTCCACATGCGATTCCCACGTACGCGCGCTCACTAGTAGGTCAAAGGCGCACGCGCACGTCCCCGCCCCCCTCCCCCTTCCAGCCGGTTTCCAGTCAGCCGCGCGCGGATTGAGTCAAGTGAGGCTACCGAGAGGTGGTGTTGACCGACCGCAGCAGGTTTTCACCGAGAAACCTGGAAAAATCACGCTTCCTAAGGCGACTGACAGTAACGCCGAGTCCTTAATTTTTAACGGAAGGGTCAGCGGTGCCGGAGTTCAGGCGACGCGACGCAGAGAAGAAAGTAAATCCCGGAGGGAAAGAGCCCGAAGTGAGCCTGAGGATCAAAGCTAATGCTAAGTTAGCCAGCCTATGCTAAATAATTACACGGAAACTGGAGTCATTTAATTAGTCGCTTGCTTTGACATAACCACTGTGGTTACCAAGTAGGTAGTCTGGGGACATTTGTTAAGTTATATGTGACATTTAATTTAAATATCGAGCTGTTTTGCCTTTACATTTTAGGCCACAAGCGACTGGTATTCAGTTAGCAAGATTAGCTACAATAGCCGGTCTTACTGAGGTTACACCGGCTCTGCGCTCCTCAGGACAGGTGATATTGCTAAAGATAGTTCGCTTTCAAAGCAGTTTCAAATCGGGAGGTATCGGTGTTTATAAGTTAGCTTTCACTTGGTACTGTGTGAGCCTTGTGCTTCGCAATGCTGAAACAACAGCAGCAACCCGGCTCAGGCGGGAGAAAGGCGTCTAACGGGACATCGGGCCCCGCCGGTATGTCTTCCCCAGTCAGCGGCATCAACAGCGGCAACAGGACACCGGCTGGGAGGTAAGCGAGTGGGGGTTTCTGTTTCAGGACAGTCCGGGGATTGTCCTGTGACTCAAAGGCCTACCGGTTAAAGCGCTGTGTGCCCAGGGGGCGTGGCTCGGTAATAGAGCTCCCCTCTAGGCCAATGAGATTAGTTAATGTTAGATTGACAGCGTTTGTGGGCCAACCAGAATGCTCAAATCTAACTTAGCCGAATTGATGAGGTGGGATCAAGTTTGTGAAAGCAGTGAGTGGCAAGTCGCCATAGATGCGGTGCAAAGTTTATCGGGCCTGTCAGTGCAAGAAAAGCGTCTTTAATCATCGAAAAACGTTTAAATTTACAACAGTACACGTTTGTTACTAACACAAGCCTAAAATATTGATGTTATCAATAGCCATACAGACATTTTATGGGCTGCTTGGGGTCATGTAAGGTCTGAAATTCACAGATGAGTGTGTGTTTACTTTACGTCTCGTCAGCTTCGTCTTTGTTTTGTAACCTCGTATGAAACTGGCAGGGCTACAATCCCACGTGGGCCTTCTTTGTAGTGTCCAGCTTAATCAATTTACTAAATGCCTGATATTTATTAAATATGTGATTCTTTTTTTACGATCTTTAAAACTTAAATGTGTGTTTGAGATGTTAACTGACAAGTCTTACTGCAGTAACAGCTTTAAACACACAGCCTTTTGTTCAGATGCCAGGAATATTGCTTTAGGCTACAAAGGCAGAAGGTGGCAGGTGGCAGCCTCGCACTGACAGTAGCTGTAAAGAATAAATACATAATAGAGAGCTCAGTGTGGGATTTTCGGTGCAGTGGGGATGCTTCATGATATAGAAACTAGTCAGGCCACTCAAGAAAGCTTGTCAGCTTCTCAAATGTATTGTTTCTGTGGAATGTGACACTGCCTTGACGGGCTTTAAAAACAAGTTATACTCCTTCTAAACAGCCAAACTGTCCTGTTTCTCACAGGAATCGAACTTCTGCAAAGCCATCATTCCAGTCATCTCCTGTGAGTATCATGTACTAGAAAAACTGCTCTGCAAACAAACACAAACGAATGGTCCACATTGTTCAAAATCAAAGGGCTGATATTGAAAAAAATGTCTCCATTCCTTGCTTTCTTTTTGTACATATTTAGTTGCATGTATAATACCATTACATTTGAGAACGTAGATGGGGAAAAGCAGATACTTTTTTAAACGACCATCACTGATGTAAAACACATTGTATTGAACCGAAAATATTGTGTGGGTTTAACTACAGTTAACCCAAATCCTTGTAAGTGGTGACAACCAGGAATAAACCTGTGACAACCGATCACATGACTGTGCTAAACTTGTATTCGGAAAAGTGCTTTATAAGTGGGTCTCCTGTATAAAAGGAGCATTCAAGAGTTTCAGTAATAAAGCCATTATTTTCTTACCTTAGGGTTACTGGTCAGCTCTGTTTCACAATGAAGTCTCTCAGCATCAAACCACATTCTTTTAAAAATACCCCTACGTGACCAATTTAACACAACGTCTTTGTTGAACTTTGTTTTAAAAGATACTTTTGTTTTCCCATGTGTAGGTGTTTGAGGGTGTATACAACAATGCCAGAATGCTTCATTTCCTCACAGCTGTTGTGGTGAGTTATTTTGCTCTTTGTCAATGTCCATGACAGTTTTTCCAGAAGAATGGCTTGCGTTGCACTATTTGTCTTTTACCATAGTATTAGGGGTGGATGCTACATGGCTGCTGTAATGCCATCTTTTCTTTAATCAAGCAAGTTGCAGAAGGTAGCTGGTTAAAGTCCTTTTTACAAATAACTGGGAAAAGAAGGAGGCTGTGTAGATATCGTGTGTCATAGTAATTCCTGATATGAAATACATACAGTGTACAAAATATGTAGAATTTATCTACAAAAATAATTCCAGTTCTGGGCGTATCATTGATCCAAACAACAATTTGGTCCTTTCCTCGTTAAATAAAGTGTACAAAACTGTTCTTCTTTTGCAGGGGTCCACCTGTGACATAAGAGTGAAGAATGGCAGTATGTTTGAAGGCATATTCAAGACTCTCAGTTCTCGGGTAAGAAGCTCATTTTGAGCACAGATTCATCAAAGCACCGCTAATAATCCTGTCAGTCTAAGAATGAACTACTGTCAAGAAAAAACATGGCCTTTTCTTCATTTGTTTAAAACCTGGTGTACAAGTTCTCAACTTTCTTTCAACATCTTGTTCTCAGTGTGAGTTGGCAGTGGATGCTGTACACAAACGCAGTGAAGAGGACAGCTCCACAGCAGCCCCACCACGGAGGGAGGACATTACTGACACCATGATCTTCAGTCCCTCAGACTTGGTTACAATGATCTGCAGAGATGTTGACCTCAACTATGCCACCAGAGGTACAAAAACACACTCAGTAGGGACTAAACAATACGTTTTTTTATCAAGCTGATGCATACACTAATTCTTTGTTATGATAACCAAAATTTGCAACTGATAGACACATTGCATGTGATAGCAGGGACCCGGCACGCACAACTAGACTCCTTCATTAATAAGAATTGCTATAGTTAAGTATGTACAGAAGCGTCACACGATGCCAGGACAGTCTTCTCCATTTACTGTGTGCTCAGTGTGTCTGCTCTTGTCTTTGGTTCCCTCCGTTATTCTTCTCTTGTGTTGTCCACTTAGTTTTCCAGTGACTGTAATTTGTGGCTGCCTCCTAATGTATTCACTAGTAAAACCAAGCCCTTTAGCTGTTAGCGTAGCCTTAGCAACTGTGAAAGTAGCTAATTTCCTGAGCTGTGGCGATGGCTATGCCTCTTATTCAGATTTTGCAGCTTGTTTCTCAGCTGAAGAGATGTGTCTGTCAGTCACACCAGATTGCCAAATTTAATCTCACTTTAGAAAAAAGTCACAAGTCCTCCAGCGTGCCACAGGCCCTGACTGAAAGCCTTTTGGTAAAAGAGTAGGCCTTGCTATCACTAAAAGGCTTGTGCAACTCAAAATAAAGCTGCATTTCAATGTCCAAAGTATGTTAAATGCAGCTTCTCTACTCTGTAAATGAACTCCATCTGGACTACAGTACCTTTCATTGTTAATTGACTGTTATTTGTGACATGTAACCAATCAGAGAGTGCTGTGGGCGGTACGTTGCTTGAGGCCACAGAACGGTGATTACAGACTGTTTATTTAATTTATTGGGTATTGGTTAATAAAAATAACTCCACTGATAATGAGGGAAAAATGCCAAATATTAGTCCAGATAATATCCTAATGGCTGGGGTTAGATCGGGCTACTAGGGCAAGAAAGTAATAAATACAAGTCACCCTGATAAAGAGAAGAGTGTCTGCGAGAGATTGTGTTCACACAAAGAGCTCCCTTGATTTATAGTAAATGGTTTTCTAATTGCTGTAAATGATGATGATCTTTAAAAGTGCACAGTTCACGCAATGAGGAGGGAAGTTAGTTGACTGGTATGAATTACCTCTTGATTTCTCTGGGGGGAAAACAGGCTGGCTTGAATAGTAATTCATTTGAGGCCCAGGTTCTCATTTTCTGCAGTGCAAATGACGGTGAACCTAATGTTCCATAATTTATAAACCAAACTGCAGGCTGCAGACAAATCTTGGCAAAGAAACCAATTTTAGATCGTTTCATCATGCCCTGACTCCTTCTGTGTGTTTGATTTCAGACACCTTTACAGACACAGCCATCAGCTCCACCCGCATCAATGGAGAACACAAAGAGAAGGTTTTGCAGAGATGGGAGGGAGGAGACAGCAACGGGGAGAGTTACGATTTGGAGAATGATGCAGTGAGTAGCGATTTCTTTCCTCAATGACCTGAAACCATTGAATGGCATGAAATTAGAGGTGATGTAATGAATGCACCCTCATTGTGCATGCTCGATACATACAGCCTGTTTTTTAACTGCTGTCTGTTAACATTGCATTATTGTACCAATTACTGTATGACCTCATCAACCTCCACATCTGTCTCCTCAGTCCAATGGCTGGGATGCCAACGAGATGTTCCGTTACAATGAAGTGAAATATGGAGTCACATCAACATACGATTCCAGCCTCTCCATGTACACGTGAGTTACAACATGAATTAATTGCCATCAGGACTTATTAATTCGTTATTTTTACTGGGAATAGCTACAAAATGTAGAACAAAACACCTGCAATTTTGTGATTTTCAGCCCTTTATACCTTTTTACACCATGCATGTTTGGTTACTTTATTTTTTTTACCATTTGGTTTTATAGGGAGACCAGAAGAATCTTAGAAGCTGTTTTTTGTATTTTATCAGTGAAAACAGGCAGTTAGGTGTCTGATACAATGTGAGCAGTGAGGCTCTTCTGAAATGAGCTGACTTAATCCTACAAACCTTTGAACTTATGTCTTACAAATTGCATCAAGACGTGTTTTATTGTAAATGTCCTTTTGTGAGCATCCCTGGTGTAATTATTGGTCAAAAGTGAGAGTCTGTTTACATTATTGTGGTTCTTAAATGGCTCTAATGTTCAGGTATGTCGTTGTTAATGGGATTTTATAGGGTTTAACTCCACTATTGTACCGCCTCCTGCTGATTTAATGAGATGATACCATTTGAGCTTGAGAGGAAGTGCCACAGTTGCTAAAAACAGATCTCAGCTTTTGTGACAGATATGCATGTAAAACTACTGACATTGATGTTATGCCTCATCAAGCGTTTTGGAAGTTTTTTGTTCCCATTTTTAATTTTTTCTTTGTTCTGCTTTCTCTCTCGACACCCAGTGTACCATTGGAGAGGGGCAACTCGGAGATGTTTCGGCAGAGGGAGGCACGTGCTGCTCGCCTGGCCAGCGAGATTGAATCAAGCCCCCAGTATCGCCATCGTGTCAACCTGGAAAACGAGGAGGGCAAAAGCGAGGAGGACAAGTACAGCGCTGTGGTGCGTGATGGCAACGATCGCGAGAGGGGTCGTGAGAGTCCCCGGGACAGAGAGCGTGAAAGGGGCCGGGACAGTCCTGGAGCCAGCAACAGGTACGAGTGGCTGCTTGTGAAAGACGTGTCAGGCAGGTAGATGGTAATGGGCCTAATGAATGTGCTCAGTGAGGAGTGTGTCTGTGGCCGGATGCAGCAGTCCAGAGGAAAATCTTTGCACCCTTTTTTAGTGCACTGCCTTTTTTGTGCAGCGACTCCGAGTGCTTTTTGTTGAAAATCTCTGAACTTTTCAAAGAGCTGCTGGTGTTGTCACTCGTCACTCCTTTTCAGACAACAAATCATATGGGTACGGGCAGATGTTAGTCTATCGTGCAACAGCGATTAGAGTGGCAGCATGCTGTCAAGATACTGTTGTCATAGAAACGAAACCACGTGCAGCATAGGAGTGCTTTTTTGATGAAGAACTCCCTTGTGCCAGCATTTGTCTGCCAGAGAAAAAGGATTCATGGACACAGCAGCTATACATCAGACACAATTAACTCGCTTGAGTTACTGAGATCATCTCCATAAATATCACACTTTGGCATGTTTTTAATCATCGTTTTAATTATGTGCTAATGCAACTGAAAACACACATTGGTTTTAAACATCACGTGACCTTCCCCAGCATTTTGCCTTTTAAACGGTTCGTGGACTTGGTGCTCATGTTCGCTTAAACATTTCAATGTTCTTTCTTGACTTTGGAAGCCGCATTTGGCAAAACTATAATTGAGTTGAGTTTTCAACCAGGTTTTTAACCAGGCAGACTCCATCTACTCAGGAAGTGATATGACAGCTGTTACATAGATTTGTGATGAGCTCGCTTGTTTAACTTCTGTTTCCAAGTTGAAAAATGAAGTTTGAAGCTCAACTATTTTTCATCAGGTTTCTGTGCAGCAGCTGGTTTTGATAGATTCTTATATCGTCTCCATCTGTTTGATGTTCTATCCTTCTCTGTCAGGGAGGGCAAGTACATTCCATTACCTCAACGCCAGAGAGAGATGAACCGGGAGCGAGAGCGAGCTGAGAGGGGTCCTGGTGGGCCTCCGCCTCACAATCGTCTAAGCGGAGGTTACCGCTCCACCCCTCCGTCCTCCTCGTCCTCTTCCCCCAGACCCCCACTGCCATCTGCTGCTGGACCCCAGTCTGGTGTCTCCCCCTCAGACAGAAACAGCCCTCTGTCAGGTAGAGGCGGGGCCTACGCTCCCCACCACCCACAGGGAAGCCCCAGTCCAGGCCCAGGCTCTGGCCCTGCGAGCCCGTACACACCTGCCTCACCTGGAGGACCAGCACCCAGCCCAGCCTCTGCTTCAGCCGCTGCATCCCCAGCCAGCCCCCCTGCCCCACACGGACACACGGTTCCTCATTCCCACTCACTCCCACACTCGCTGTCTGACGCTGGCAGACCCGTTAATGGAGGTAAGTGATGTGTCCAAAATTGTTTGAGCAGCTGTAACATCTGTGCATGTTGCTAAGGCAGATTTTTATTTTTTTGCCTTTCAGTCTCCACCAGAACATCTCCCAAAGCCCAAAGACCTCCACAGTCGAGCAGGACAGGACGCACTCCAAACTCACACTCTCAGTCCACAGGTGCAGTCTGCGGTCACATTCAGTCAGCTGCCCTTTTCAGATTTTCCCCATACGGTTGATGAACTTTGGCTAAAACTTGATGTTCTTTCATATCCTTGCAGCTACCCGCTCCCCTAAATCAGGTTCTTCCCATGACACGCCTTATCTGGACACTTCATCCGTCACCCTGCCTGTCCAGAAGACGTCAGGCCCTGCCCCTCTCTTCCCTGTAGATGGTATTGTCTCCCTCCTTGCTTTCTTTTTTTCATATCGTTAAGAGTCATTACCATTTGTAGCCTATAATGACATGGATTTTAATGAGACTGTCACCCTCCAGCAGTAAGAGACTGTTATTCAAGGAGGATCTAATGAGCTACTACAACTACTTACTTTGCCGTTTGTGTCATCTTCACAGTGAATGAGATTCTTGGTGCGGCTGCAAAGGAACGCGCTGCAGAGAGTCCGAGCAGCACAGAGGAAAGCAAGAGCAGTAAAGGTGTGTGTATGACAAAGTGGTACTGGTTAAATCCTGATTGTAGGTCTTAACTGGAAACATAAATTAAGAAGGCATAGTCCAGAATTTCACATTTTCATTAACCAATGTCTTCTCTCACCCCCCAGCAGCTCCCTCACTTCAGCAGAGGTCGCAGATTGAGGAGCTGCGGAAATTTGGCAAGGAATTCAGGGTAAGAGATCGACTGTCTTTCAGTGAAGTGTGAAATGAGAAAATCTGTGACGAATCAAGAGGCTGTGTCCTTGGACATCACTGATGTCAGACTTACCCCCCCCCCCCCAAAAACCCCTCTGTTAAGCTGCATCCACATTATTTTTCATTTTAATACGGAAACAATCTTCATGGAGACGAACATTTTAGCACTATTTGTGAAATGAAATACTGTCCGTACATATCAACAGACCTGATAATGCCTATGACATGGCCATTTACGTACACTGGGCACGCTGGTGCCGGTATAAGCATACAACTGTTTATCACCTGCTAGCATAGATAAAGTCAGCAATGCCTGTAATTCATTGTCTTTATCATATAAAAACCACTGATGTTTTCTGCAAAGCGGTCATGTGATGGGAGCATGCCGAATCAGAGAATGACGTGTCGTGACAGGCCCGAACAGAAAGCAAACACGGATCATTGTTTCCAAAAGTAACTGCTTGAGCCCATACAGACTAAAAAGCAGGACTGTAGATTTCACATTAAACCTACAAATGTCTTTGTTTTAGAGGTGCAAAAAGCTGGAGTGGTTTGGACACGAGGTGTAAATGAAGCAGAAGTGTTTTAAAATGAAACATGTTGGTGTGCATCTGGCTTTATTCATGTGGTTGTGACCGTTAACATTCATCACGATACTGTCATATAACTAATCATAGTTGGCTTGCTCGTTCTTCACATGGTGTGCTGCTGAACTCATGTTGTACATAAGGAACTTGTCTTTTAATGTTCTGTCACTCTGGTAGAAGAGCCCAACTCCCTCATGTTGGTATAAAATGTGAAGCAATACATGTATAATGTCTGAAATGTGGTTAAACCATTTTAAGTAGGATAGATTATTCTTGATATGGCATACGTGTTTAAATTAATCTCTAAACGAGCAGACATGTTGGTGCAGTAGTCTGTATTCATCTGTAAAACAGTGTAGGACGTTCTTTCAGTACTTGTTGGCTCTTACACGCAAAAGCCCCATTCAGCACCATACTGCAGTTTAATCTGTTCTGCCTCTTTTGTTTATGTTGTTGTTGTGTGGGGTGTGTTTCCTGTTTCCTATTTTGTGTTTTATTCTTACATAATGAAGAGTTAATGTATTAATCACTGCACTTGGACGTTTCTGTTCCACTTCAGCCAACACTTTTGCACTTTGAACCTCACAAAGTCCGTGTGACCTGAAAAGACCTGAGCTCACTGTTAAAACTGAGCTGTTGAAAGTTTCCATGGCAACATGTTGAAGCTCTGGCCCCTCAGTTGTGAGGATTTGCTGAAAATAGTGCTGTGGTAGTAAATCGATTTATTTTGGGATTTTGAAGCCTTGATTAGATAAAACAAGGCATCACTTGACGCTCACATACCCCAACAATTGATCAAGTAAATGATCACATTAATCAGCCGTGACAGTAGGTGTCAGTCGCAGTCCGAATCTTATCATAATTAGCTCTCATCAATTGGCACTATTTATACCTGCTTCTGTCTGTCTTCCAGCTCCAGCCGAGTGGAGGCAGCTCCAGCTCTCCCAGTTCCCCGGCAGCGGCAACCCCTCCTGCCGTCGGCGAGGCTGCCCAACCCGGCGCTGCCAAGCCCTCTCCCTCAGACGCTCACCCCGCTTCAGAGCCCAAAGCTCAGCCTCCAGCTCCCAGTCCTTCACAGCCCCAGCCTCAGCCTTCACCAGCTCCCACTGAGGACCCCACCAAGGACACGGCAGCTACACCTGGTAGCGCCACAGCCGCCGCCACCACGGCGCCCCTTTCAGACAGGCAGTCACCGGCGGCCCCTCAGCCAGCCAGGACCCCAGGAAGTGAGGAGGCCAGGTCTGAGACGACGGAGCGGACAGAGGGCGTGGCAGAGTGAGTTCTCAAAAAGGATTAGAGATTCCTCACCGTGAACTGTGTGGTTTTGCTTACTTATTGCCAATATGATCTTAATTTCTAACAGTTGTTTTGTCTCTTCCAGCCAAGTGAAGAAGTCCACCTTAAACCCCAACGCTAAAGAGTTTAACCCTATCAAACCTCAGATGAACATGGTACGCCAATTTATTTGTTTAATCCTGCAAATGTGAAAATTCTATTCGTTAAAGTTTGAGTAGTTTCTAGAAAGAACTGCAGTGATGTATTAAATTGCATTCAAGTTCATTTTCTCTCATAAGAATACTTTAGTTTGGTACTTAGTGTCACATATTTTACAGTCAACAATCCTTCAGAATTCTGGTTTTATTTCACGTATTTTATTATGTTTATATGTAGGAAATCCTCCGGTGTGCTTTTAGTATAAATTTGAAATTGAAATGTGTGGAAGCTGCTTTGTGTAGCTGTGACGCAGATTTATGTACCTCTGGTTGTGTGATCACACAGGCGAAGCCCAACACTGCGCCCACCCCACCTCGGCCGACTCCTCCAAGCCCAGTGGTTCTGCAGCACCCGGGTGGACAGGGCCCGATCTACAACACTCCCTACCTCTCCTACGTCTCACAGATCCACTCTGTGCAGGTGCATACGCAACTCTTTTGACAAACCACGTGCTGAGAAGTAGTCCATGATTTTAAAAAATAAAATAAAATTATATTTACGACTACCAAGTTGTGTTGAACAATAATTCTAATGCCAATAATTAATTCTATCCCTGATGACAACAACAAATAGAATAAAGATACCGGACAAAGTTAAGCTGAAATGAGCCTTCAGATGTCTTTTGAATACGAAGATAATCCTTTTACTAACTTTACTAACTTTTACTTTATTCAGATTTGTGTTTCTTACCATACAGCAACAATTTGACTTGTGTTGACTTGTTGATTCTTTTTTTTGTCTTTCAGCCTCCACCGATGTACCAGTACACCATGTCTGCAGTCAGCCAGGGAAAATACCCCAGGACCAAAGGTAAATACAGCATTTATCTCTCCACTGCTGTTCTGTGTCGGTTTTTCAATTTTATTTTTCACACCAATTCACAACATAAATTATCTCAGGGCACTTCATGTAGTCACTTCCAGACCTACAAACTGCCAACCATTTCCTTGGAGCAAGCAAAAAAAACTGAAGAAAGCCCCTATCTGTGCTTTTCAATTTGTTGTTTCCATTTAAAACTTTTTTTAAAAAAATTGCTTCAGAATGAGTTTCCGTCAGCTCTTGGTAAAGGCTTGAAATCAGCTTCACAGAAGGTGCTGAGACGGCAGCCGTTCAATATACGACTAAATTAGGATTTTATCAGTGTTCCTGTCTCGGTAGGTGCTGTGTGTTACAGACACGACATGCTAGAAACTACCAGCTTTCTAGAACTTGCAGCGCCTGTCTCAGTTTACAAAATAAAATCTTTCACTTGCACTTGATTAATGAAGATAAAATAGTTTAACAGTTATGCTCAAGTGTTGCACTTCTCACATCAAAGGCTGCAGATACATCAACGCTATTTTTTAAAAAACGTTTTTTAAAATATGAAGCAGCTTTGGATGAAATATACTGAGAGAAACATTTGCTGAAATCATCAGATTAGCTGTAGACGTGGTTTTGATTCGTCTGTTATCAGCTCCAGCACATGTGATGATCATTCTTTCCTTCCACTAGGATCGGTAGTGGCTCCGCGCTCTGACCACGGGACGTCAGCACCCCCCATGCTGCAAGCTGCAGCGTCTGCAGCTGGCGCCCCGCTGGTTGCGTCGCCCTACACTCAGTCCTACCTTCAGTACAACCCCCAGCAGTACGGCCAGCAGCAGGTCATCCAGGCCATGACACCGTACCCTGGACAGGTAGGACGCCTAACCTGCACGCTGTTGTTTATGTCTGGCTTTAACTGGTGGGCAGAATGTTTGGTAATTACCATTGGTAAGAGGGTTATTAATCTTGGAGACTTAATTATTGAGCAGAGGTTAATAAGGAGGGCTCAACTGATTTTTCTAAGAACAGATACTGATTATTAGTAACAGAGACCAATAACTGAAATACAGCTGCAGTAAAAATGAAAGTCCTGCTGTTAACATTTTACTGAGATGTGTTTTAATATGTTTAATCAAAAGAGAACTCTTCAACATTAATCCTTCATTATTGATTGCCTGTTGCTCCTGATGTGGTACTATTAGAATTGTATGTAGGAGGGACATGAGTCCAGACTAAAAACTAGTGAATACAGACAAAGAGAGTCCAGGACAAGCTGAATATCAGATCCAACTGTTGGCCTTTACCTCCTTGGTATAGCTCGCTTCCACATGTGAAACTGTTTTAAATGTGTCTTATTCTTCTCTCGTGTCCTCCTCTACAGCCGATGTACTCCATGCTGCAGAGCGGAGCCAGGATGATAGGTCAAGGTGGAGGTCACCCACAACCCCTCGGAGCACCAGGAGGTCCCCCGTTCCAAACACAGGGAGATGGACCTCAAGGCCCTCAGCAGGGCATCTATGGTGAGTGGTCAATGTGGAAGACAAAATGTTCACATTTAAAATCACACTGCTCGTTTCATTTTTTTTAAAAACAAAGAAGCCAACACTCACACACATTGTCTGTTTTCTCAAGCAGCTCCACCGTCGTTCTCTCATCACTCGGGTGCAGTTCATCAGCCGCAGCCCTCCAGTACCCCGACAGGCAACCAGCCTCCTCCACAGCATGCTGCACCGAGCCCCGGACAGGTGAGACCCCCTCACAGGAGTCCTGCTCTGGGGCCACAACACACAGCCTGTGCAACGCTGATGATGAGATCCCCCCCATCCTTGTTTTTCTAAATGCTTTCCATCGTTAGTCACACGAACAGATTAGCTGTGAATATGGTCACATGTCTCACTGAGATTTAGGTTTAATTATACCTCTAAGTGAACATAAGTTTCACTTTCTTTATGACCACAGATATGTTGATATTTAAGTACCTGTAACTGTACATGGATGTTGTTCTCTTCATTGTGCTGAATTAGGGTTTTTTTTTCCTTAACAAAATTATCATTTAAAGGAGTTATTTGTGTTTTACAACATGTCTATAGTGTTTGTTTAAATATATTCTCACTGAAGTTGTTTAGTATGGGGTGTGTTACTGCAAGAAATTCTTGTATTCTGCAACTTGAACTAGTTTACCTCCGTTATTATTCATAGTTAACTGTTATATTAGAAAACGTTGACTTCATAATATCAAAATAAGAACAGAAACACGTCTAGTTTTGTTCTTACTCTTGGAGGAGGCCTGTCCTTCAGGACTCAGCTCTTGTGATTTATTTAGGATGTCCTGTCATTCCTAACGGCCTGATGTCTCCTTTCAGAACGCCCAGTCAGGCCAACAGCCTCAGCCCTTGTACCACTCAGGTCCCTTGCCGGCACCAACACCACCCAACATGCCGCCAGGCCACACGTCTCCACAGGGCTCGTACCCCATTCAGGGCTACAGCATCCACGGACACCAGGGCATCCCAGCCACTTACCCCCTGGGGCAGATAGCACAGGTACGTGTCCATCGTTCTGCTTCTGACGCGTCGCATGAAAATGTTCAGTTGGGGTTTGTCTTTACTCAGAACGGCTCTTTATGGAGTGACAACGCGTTACAGTAAGCTCATCTCCTGGTTCCTGGTATTTCTGACTATTCATTAACAAAAATGCCTGTTGAGGTAAATGTAACCCCAATTACCAAAACTGGGTGTAAAAATAAAAATCAGCAGCTATTTTTATTCTCAGTGCTCATCATGTTGGCTCTGGTGACTTCCTCCCCCGAGGCTGACTAAAAGTTCTGCCAAAGATTCCTCTGTGCCGGAAAAACCCCGATGACTGCTGTGTCGAGGCACTTACTGTAACTGTGCTGTTTCCTCTTAACCGGAAGCCTTTCAGTCTGTTCTAAATTTTGTTTTTGTCGCTCATGCCCTCGCCCCTGCCCCCTCCCCCTCCAGGCCCACGTACAAGGAGCCATGTCGGGTCCCCACCACTCGGGGAGCCACGGTCAGCCCCAGTTAGTGATGCTGCAGCAGCAGGGCCCCGGCGCCGTGCCCCAGCACCCCCAGCACGGACCTCAGCAGGGAGCACACCAACACTTTTACATAGGACACCCACCACAAGGTACAATGACAAGAAACCCCCTCCTCTTGACCCGTCAAATAAAGGTGACTGTTGCTTGAAATGTGGGCTTTACCATTTCTGCTTTTTTTTTATTATTATTATTTGTCACCTCCCACAGCGATGCAGGTACAAACACACCCTGCTTCCTTCCATCCGCCTGGAAACTAAAACCCCCCCCTCTGCCCTCCCAAACCGTTGCCCCCCCCTCACCCCCCACCCACCCCTCCGCCTGCCTGCTGGATGTGAGGCCCAGAATCACTGCGACTCATATACAAAAAACAAAAAACTGACTGGAGGATAGAAGAAAGCAAAAAGAAAGTCTGACAGCACCTTATTCTTCTGCTGTACTGCTCTTCGTCAGTACAAACACCTCGGTGTCGGCCCCAGACGAGGAGGACCCTTTTAGTGCTAATGATGAAGGTGACGGAGAGCAGCAGCAGCAGCAGCAGCAGCAGCGTCCGACCTCCTGCTGCTATCCGGCTCTTCTCTCCAACTTCCCCCTTTTTTTTTTTCTTTTTTAAAGAGACATGCGGCACCTCGCTGAGCAGGCCAGTCGGCGAGGGGAATAACAGATGGAAAAACAGCAGCAGACTCTTTATCTTCCAGGAATGTGTTTTTAGCCTTGTGGGGGTTTTGTAAGAACCATGACACGAATGGGAAACACAGACTGTCGCGGGATTCTCATGAAAACAGCATGAAAAGGAGGGACTTGAAGACAAGAGGGGAGTTTTTTTTTTAGCGTTTTCTTTCTTTTCTTTTTTTTTCTTTTTTTTTTTAAACTTGATCCAGTAGTTCACACCGCCCCCTTTTCCCTCCCTTCTCTCCTGTAGGAAAATATAATTAATAAAAAATGGACAAGACAAAAAAAAGTAAAAAAACAATGACCAAAAAATAAAGTTTTCAACTCTACTAAAAAAAAAAACAAGCGTTGTTGGTTTAATTTATTGTGTTTGCAGCTTTTCTCCTCACTGCTTGGAGTGACTGTTAACAGAGATAATGAGACGCAGAAATTTATTTTTCATTAGACAATATCAAGAGCACATTTAATTTGAAGCTCACTGAGCGTTTGCTATTATGTCAGGTTGACAAAACAAAGTAATTACCTCCCAGGGGACGTTTTGTGTTCCTTTCACATTCTCATTAGCGTGGATTCGTTCTGCTCGCGCTGCTTGTTAATTTAAAACGGGCACTAGAGGGACCCCTCCAGCCTCGGCGTACCGACGGCCGCCATGAGGCACACTGTCCTTGTTGTGACTCTTTGGGTTAGTGGGGCACTCTGCTTTCCCCTTCAGGCAAGTGTGACACCACGCTTTGCGGCTCGGTGACAGCACTCTAGATCAATGTACTAGCGAGCGTACCGGCTAGTTCTACGTCAATGTGTCAGAGTGTGTGGCCTAGTTTGTCCCCCGCCCCGCCGTAACATGTTAGGACAATGCTGTCAGTGCAGCAGGTTGTGGCAGCCATCTCAGTGTGACAGCGCGTACAGCTGCTCGGCGCTGCGCTCCAGTCGGGCCCGGTACTCCAGGTTGGAGTAGTTGCCTTCAGGGACCCCCTGTGTGCCGTAGAGGAGACCCCAGCAGCAGCAGGCAATCACGGCGGTGCTGTCGCTGTCGCCTGGACGGGATGGAAGAGAGAGGAAAGCCTGAGGAAGTGTGACAGAGCAGCACTGACATTTATCTTTGTGTCCAGCTGAACAGTAACTGTAACGATCAGCCAGTGCAGTGATCAATCAGCAACTTTAGGTTCATTGACTAACTAATGAGCGAATGACCAGAAGGATGAGTGATCCGGAAAATCAAAAACCTTAAAAACAGCCATCTGCATATTAAAACATCATCAGAGCAGGCCGACTTCAAATCATCAATCCTCAGTTAGACAGAACAAAATACATCCAATATGGACGCATAACGCTGCAACGTCTAACTTTACATTCAGTGTTATGACTGAAGACGACCTACAGCTGCAGAATAACGTCATTATTAAATGTATATTTAGTGTCTATTCTATTTTTTTTCATTTTGTTAACTATCGTCTCCCATCTCTAGTGTTCATGGCCTACAGTAGGACTCCATATTACTTTCCGTATTGATTTGTTTATCATGTCTTATTCATGAAAATTGAGATTTTACTCCGTTTTTTTCCCCTTTGAAATCTTTTTATATCATTACACATAAGATCATTTTTGTTGATCCCTTCACATGTACTGACATGAAACAGCTCAAATGTATTCATACCCTCCCATTAAAGAAGGAAAAAAACAGGTGTCACTGAAATAAGTTGAAATTGACAAAAGAAATTCGACCCGTAAACTAATATTTAGTTGAACAACCCTTTGAGCCAATCACTGCATCAAGTGTTTCTGTAACTCTCAGTCAGACTTCTGCACCTGTTGCCAGGTGTTTTAATTTCACTGCTCATCAGCAAAGTGCTCTAATTTATCCAGGACAGTTTTTTTTTTTTTTTTAATTATTCTTTTTGCCCACGATTCAAAATCATGTCTTATTTCAAAAAATCATAATTTAGCTAATTTTTTATTTATTATTACTTTTTTCAGTTTCTGGTTATTTGAGTGACTGCTGTGAATTTTGCCTTTTCTTTAACGGAAGGGTTTGAATACATTTGAGGGCAGTAAAAGTAATCAGATTATAGGAAGTTCCCTTTAGACTAAATCTGTGCTGCTTCTTAATATAACAGCAGATGAACCAGTTAAGAGTGCAGATCTCACCAGATGTGGCAAAACATCTCTGTTCAAATAGAAAAAGATCAATGTTTGCAAAACGTGCCAACGGATGTGACTTATGGTTACGAGGTTTAGGTTTTATGAGCAGAAGTGCTGAAACTATTGATACGAATCAGAAGACAAAAAAGAAGAGTTTTGATGCTCGGGCAGGGATAATGCTGCGTTCAATGGCAGCTGGGAACTCAGAATTTATGATCTCTGACGAGGAAAAGTGAAAGAAAGCTTAACCAGTGGCCAGATTTCCCACTCAGTGATTTAGGAATAGTTTCTCAACCTCAACTTTTACTTAATTCCCCAAAACAGCAGCCAGAACATTATGAAGCTGCTTCAGTGTTATCAAGGTAAATGTCTGCAGCAATAGAAAATGTACATTTTGTGCTTTTTCCCCCTTCTGTTAGTTAACTGAGCAACACGTGCAGTGAAGAGTGCCTGTGCTCCACACTTTACATCAAATCAGGTAAAAAGTAACGTAATTCCAAAATCTGACTTCCTATTTCCAAGGCACATTGAATGCAGCATAAGGCTGAAGGTGAAAAAAGTTTACTTCTAAAATAAAACTATAGATGATTATTATCCTAAGACATATTTTAGGTGAAGGGTATTTTGAGATTACAATTATCGCAGCAGCTTGCTGCACCACAGAGACGTTCTGTGACCTCTGACCTCCGTGGAAGCCGGCTCTGCTCATCAGCTCCTCCCAGTCTGAACCTGCTCCCAGCAGGGCGTCCAGCGCGATCATTGGAGCGTCGTGGCCGCTGCGTCCCGCCCAACCCGACAGACTGAAGCTCTTGTAGGCTTCGTCTCGCTCGGCGGGGCCGTAGGGGGAGGGCCAGATCGCAGGGCCGACCCCGTTAGAGATGCCCCTCAGATCCAGGTACCTGTGGACAGAGGGAAGAAGGTTTCTACCGGAGCAGAGAGGAAAACCTCCTGAGGATTAAGCGGTGTATAGATAATGGATGGATGGATGTTATGCTCGCTGACTATTGGTGAAGCTAATTCTGTGCGTGCACACTCCTGTTGAGTATGTCTGAGTATTGCCTGTGTCGGGTTCCATGTGGAGATGTCATCATGTGGGCCTTTGTGGAGAGTCCAACACTGCACTAACAATGGCCAAACCCCCTCTTCTCAATCTTGGCAAGAAAGCCGGTCAACCTTTATCCTAAAATGTCAAACTGCTGCTTTTGTCAACAATAATTATTGCTAAGTTTTGTTATTTTTGTGGACTCTGACATCTCCTCCCATCAGCACAAATACACAAAACATTTCATGTGTTTGTTCCACCAGCATCCTGCATGAACCTGATGCACTAAGACGCCACTAGAATACAAAGTGGGTTCAATATTCTGCGAGGAGTCGAATAAAAAATGAGGTTCGTGCTGCCGAACTGTAAACAAACTGGTGACATTTCAGCACACTGTCACGTCATCATCTGTTAACCTTGGGACTGAAATAGGTTAATGGAAGTTGCTGATGCTAGAGGCCTGAATCTTAACGCAGCGTGACAGGCCAACAAAGCCCCGGTTTCAGCAGCTCTTACCACTGCCACTTGTCACAGAAGTAGCCCCAGTCCCTCTCCGTCTCCTCCACCGCGTGGCCTCGACCCTGAACGAAGCTCCTCGCTATGGGACAGGCCTCGTTGATCAGGCCCAGACCCCAGGTGGTGATCGGCCTGCGCTGGACGGCGTACGAGGTGAAGAGCGCCGACGCGACGGCTCCCAGGAAACCGGTGGGGTGAGGGTGGGTCATCTTGCCCGTCTCCACGGCAACCGCCACCAGCGACAGCAGCTGGTCGGGTTTGGGATACCTGGTGTGGATAAAAAAATATTACAGTCCTTATTAGCATTTATTGTGGAGGATACTCTGCTAATGTGCTCCTTCACACAGCTGACAAACGTGTTCACTCCACTGTCTGGATGCAAATTATGTTCACAGTAATTACTTCTTTTCAAGCTTTAATTGACTCCACATAATGTTCTTAGTGGCTAATGCTTTAACCCTCGAGCTGTTCTTTATTTATTTTCTGCTCAGTGATCAAAGCTGTGCCATTTATTTCGAATTACCGAGCGGCAGCCCAAAATGTACACGTTCAATGTCACGTTTTGTCATTGGCTGAATGAACCACAGTGAATTAGTAATAATACAGCTTTAGTGAGGATTTTTTAATTTTATCAAACTCATCTTCCTAATTGAAGCTGATGGGGACAAATTGGCCTTTTTTCCCTCCTCTACAACTAAATATGTGTTTAAAACTTAAACAATCGGTGCGTTAATCAATCAGTCGGTTGGATTTTTAAATTGTTTTCCATCTATTTTAAAATATCAATGAGTCTTTATATTCAATAATATCAAGTATTCTCTGTGTGACTTTTTAAGACAAAAACTTACAAATTAGCTGCAAACCAAGAAGCATTTTTTCTTCCTTTTGTAGTTTCTAAACAAAAAACAAA